ACAAAAACAAGCCTGTTCTTAGTTGTACAGATATGTTTTCTATCTGCAAAAGACTAGTTCAGTCCTCTGAACTCATGTTGGTAAGAGCTACAACACACATTCTCATTCTTCAGATGTGCAGCTAATCAAGTGGATTTGCTGACTATTAGCAGGGCAGTTTTTTAATTTTGAAATGTTGCTACATCATTAAAAAAACCAACCCACAAATTTTCACCCAAAAAGAATGTGTGTAAAATTTTTCAAAGGTTTTGGAAATTGTTCCCTACCAGCTTGAGTATTGAACTAAAAACTGATGCCAAAATCTGAAACCAGTGATATAGAAATGTAGCCTGAAACAGATAAGAATGCTGAGCCACTCAGAATAGTTCATGCATTTACCAGATAACAACGTGTTTATTTTCATTTCAAATTCACAGGTGGATGTTGCACAGAAAGCAGCAACTGCACTGAAGGGAAAACATGGAACCAATTTCACAGTGGGGCCAGCCTCTTCGGTTTTATGTAAGTTTGTGTTTTCCTATTTGCTCTGTTGTCACAGAGGAATAAGGAACATCCTGATTCTGTAATGCTGCTTCACTGAGTTCCCACTTAGAATAGTAAGGGGTAAGCAGGTTTAAGTACTGACCACTTGAATATGTGATGATGTGTGTATGTTAAATAGCTAACCACATGAAGGCAGTATCAGTCCGTTGCTGGTTCTTACAAAGAATGCCTTATTTGAATAATCAGAAGTCCCAGAAATGGATTAATCATCTTATTCCCATTCAAGTCTTTGGAAAAATGTCCACTGATGTGAAAGAAGCCAAGGTTTTAGCCCGTCTGCTACAGGTTCAAATCCAAATCAAGTCTATAGTGACAATCAGACTTTATCATCTGATGACTGCTTGCTGTTCAGTGTGAAATAAGCTGGTTTCAGTCTGGGGCCTACTAGACTGAAGACCACATCATAGAAACCATTATCACAGGTGATATTAGCTGGCACTCTTATTGATGCTTTCTGCTGGAGTATGGAAAAATCATGGAGAACTATCTTCCTTTACCCAGAAAAGCCTTCCTCCTGTCCAGATAAGAATGAATCATGTTGGATAGATGGAGCAGAAGAATTTTTTGTATATATTTTTTATTTCCATGATATGCATGTCCAGTGCCTGGGTGGGTCAGTCCCTTAGTTGCATGTACTTCAATGCATCTCTGAGTTGACATACAAGGCATTTTGCTCATGTAGGCGTGGCATGCTTAGAAATGATCATCCACTTTTAAGAAGCTGGGCCCATGTTTGTAGATACTTTAAATCTGTAAAGAGACACAACTGCAAGACAGAGAAATGATATGGTCTGGACACAGCTTACAGTTGGATTCCCCCAAATCACTATTTCAGACCCTCATGCACAACCACAGGGTAAAACAACAGAAATACTAAGAACACCTTGCAGAAAACCATAGGTAAAGGCCAGAGGGAGTAATTTTGCTTATGAAAGGTCTATGTAAAGATTTTAATGTAATCAAGAACTCCAGAACCTAGGTCCGTTTCCCATTGTGAAGCACTGTTGTGTCTGCTTTGATGACATACTATGCTGCTTGGTTCAGGGATCTTGCAGTGATCTTGCATAAATTATAGCAAGAGACATTTCTAACAGAAAAGTGCCTAATACACTCACCTCACCTCTGTTTTTGACTTCATAGACCAGAACTCTGGCTCCTCACGAGACTGGGCTCATATGATTGGCATTCCATTCTCTTATACGTTGGAGCTGCGAGACAGAGGTGCATATGCATTTTTTCTACCAGCAGACCAAATCCAACCCACATGTGAGGAGAGTACTGTGGCTGTGATGACCATCATTGAATATGTAAATCAGAAGTATTTCCCAAATGGGGCAAAACTGACCTCTGGAAATCTGTGTCTGAACCTGTTGCTTAGTGTTCTGTTCATGTGGGCGTTGTCTTAAGTATCCCTTTATAGACTGCAACAGGAAATGCCCATGCAGTGTGTAATATCAGTTCAAAGGGAAACACTGATGATACTTGGAGATCTGAATGCTGTAACATTTAAATAAAGGATCATTACAGTACTTGCAAGCCTTTCTCCAGTGTTTTTAAAGGGGGAATAGGAGATGATCTGCCACCTAACAAAATCAGTCCCTTTTCAAGCCCTGTGGCAGTGGGTGGTTTGGTTCTATTCCTTTGATTCCTTAAGACCGGGGTGTCAGACATGCAGCCTGCAGAGCCCAAAAATCCAGCCCCTGGTGCTACCCTCTTTCTTGCACCAAACTGACCCCCCCATCATGCTGTGCCTGGGATATGTGCCACCTATAGTGCTCACTTGGGCAAGGTCCCAGGTGTGCCACTCACTGGGGCTGGTCCAAGGTTAGGCCGCCTACACTGCTCACTCCTGGCCCTTGGCTATGCCACCCATGCCTCAGTGAGCAGTGCAGGCAGCACAGCCTGGGATGTGGCTCCAGTGGGCAGAATGGGTGGCACAGTCTGGGACCAGCAGCAAGTGGGGCAGCCTGCTGTGATCAGGCCCCAGGCTGCACCACCCATGGGGGCCAGTCCAGTCCCAAGTAGCACTGCCTGTACATCCCACTGGGGCTGGGTCCTGGGCCATGCTGCCCACACCTCAGTGCGTGGTGCAGCCCAGGACACTGCCCCAGCAGGGCAGCTCACCCAGGCCACATCCCAGCCTATGTTGCCCCCTGGGTCACAGGGCCAAAGGCATGGCTGACTGATGCCTCTTCTTGAGTCAGGGGTGGGGCACGTGCTGGAGGGGTCCCCAGTGGCTGATCGTGCTGTCATTTTTGGAATAGCCTATGTTATTTTTGGAAGTCTTGCTTCCTGTCTCTGAAAGACACAAGGAGAAAGCTGCACATCTCCCCCACCCCACAATGGTGCTGTTGATGAGGACTGTAGAACCTCTTGCCAGGCACTGCCCTACTTCTTTCACAGCCTCCAATTGATCAGCATGAAAACCTGACTTCCCATCCATTGCTGGCACCAGCAGGATATGCAAGACATAGATATCTAGCTGTTCTTTCTGTTTCCACTTCTGAAATATGTGCAGTTTCTTTGATTGCTGACCTCCATGGGGTATGAAAGGGACCAGAAGCTGTGGGCTAATCTGGTAACAAATCAAGGATGGTTGAATGCAAGCATAAAGGGTGATGTAGGTATATGGTGGGAGAGACTTGGTCCTGTCATTCTTTTACAGGCAAGTAGCCAAATATGTAAAGAGAGAAATTCAGCTGACTAAATACACAAGTGAAAAGAAAGAAGTGAGGAGCTGTTTCTATCTCCACAAGCCAGACTAGAGTGAGAAATTTCTTCCATTATCAACCAGCAGTGGTAGCTATTTTCTCTCTATCAATGACTAGTGAGCTGAAAATATTCCCTGGTAGATTAAATTGTAAAAAAAGCATAGTATTTAATGCATGGGTTTACTCTGTACATAAGCTTTCTTCAAAAAGGTTTCCATCTTTGACTTGAGGCTAAATCTCCAAAGCGTTTTAGGTCTTGCAAGGCTTAACTCAGAGGCACCCTACAACACAGTAGAATCATCAGTCCTGAGGTTGGCATCTAGGATCCCCATACAGATGCATGTATGCCTAAAAATTGGCACCTAAGGACTGAAAAGAGCCAGCATAGTGAGAGCTGGCATGAAGAATACAAGGTAGCCAGTAGCAAATGCTGAAGAAGGGAGAGGTTGAAAGGGACCTCAGGAGGGCATCTAATCCAAACCCCCGCTCAAAGCAGGACCATTCCCAACTAGATCAGCCCAGCCAAGGCTTTGTCCACCCAGGTCTGAAAAACCACCAAGGATGGAGATTCCACCACCTCTCTGGGTAGCATATTCCAGTACTTCACTACTCTCCCAGTGAGACAGTTTTTCCTAATATCTAACCTAAACTTCCCTTGCTGCAACTTGAGACCATTGCTCCTTGGTCTGCCATCTGCCACCACTGAGAACAGTCTAGCTCCATCCTCTTTGGAACCCCCCTTCAGGTAGTTAAAGGTTGCTATCATATCCCCCCTCAGTCTTTTCTCCTGAAACTAAATAAGCCCAATTTCCTCAGCCTCTCCTCAGTCATGTGCTCCAGCCCTCTAACCATTTTCGTTGCCCTCTGCTGGACTCTCTCCAATTTGTCCACATCCTTTCTATAATGGGTGGCCCAAAGCTGGACACAGTACTCCAGATGTGGCCCCACCGGTGCTGAATAGAGGGGAAGAATCACTTCCCTTTAAGTCCTGCAAGGAAGACAGGTGGGAAATATCTCACTTGTGGACCCTATCAAAGTTTAGGCATGAGAGGAGGTGCTGAGGAACCTGGTGGCATTAGGACTTAATTTTTATGTACCCACTGGCAAAAATTTGAGCATCCAGGGAAACTGGGAGGCCTCTAGGGCCAGGAAGAAGTCAAGTGAAGGTTTTGATAATTAGTGACACTTAGATATTGGACTTAGGTTTTACACTTAGGCCATGCTAAATCTCTATCAAACATTTTCAGCTAACAAGTATAAGGACCAGATTCTCAGTATGCATAAATCAACAGAGCTCCATTGATTTCCGTCAGTTTGACAAGCTCACCCTAGGTTTTGAAGCTGGTCTGTGTTCTTCCAGACTCATCACAAATAACAATGTTTCTGCAGTTGAACAATTCTGTTGATGACACGCAAACCAGGAGTGAATCTTGCTCATCCTCTTCAAGGTGACTTAAAAACTTATCTTCATCGCTGAAGCCGGAAGATCCAAATGTTTGTAATAATCAGAAGTCCCATTGTGAACAAAGTACAGCTAGCTTTACATTTTTCGGTCAAAATTGTTTTTGACAGAACAAATCCAAATATTTTGCATAAAATGTTTGATTTCCTTTGGAAAAAAATGAGTTTTTGTTGAACGTGGAAAACCTTTGGGCTGAAAACTTTAATCTTTTGGCAAAAATAATTGAGGGTGACCCCATTTTCACTCCTATTTTATAGCTAGGTTCTGTGGAAATGCATAGTGAAAACCAATTTCTACCCCCAAAGTTTACAGGATACAGGCCAAGGAGAGGAGAATGGAAATATTGTCTCCATTTTACAGGTGGAGAATCGAGGCACAAGGTTTAAATAATTTGGTTACAGTCTTCCAAGAAAGCTGTTACAGCATCTGCTGGGCGGGGGGGCAGGGTGAGCGACAACTGCCCGCAGGTGTTGGTGGTGCCTTTTCAGGGGGTGCACGTGCATCCACGTGCACCCCCTATGCATCGCCAATGGGCACATGTTTCCATGTGGGGTGGGTGGCTCTGTATTCTTGATTTGGTCTGCCACACACTGTCTGCCCCTCTTGTTTTTCTGTCTCCTGTCGTAAGGTTTCAAAGTACTGAGATCCTTGCAACAGACTCTGCCTCCTGCTTGGGGTGCTCCTGGGCGATGGTCTCCCATGAGTTGATGTTGATGCTACATTTTTTCAAATTGGCTTCGACAACCTTGTCATGGCGGGGACCTCCAGGAGGGCCGTGATCTCCTTGAGGCCCCTTCCTCCGTGCCAAGTTGGCCCAAGGGCACCCTCTGATTCTCGCCCGCCATGTCTTTGCTGTTCCAATATATTAGGGAGGCTGCCTTACATCTTCTTGGACACCGTTACTTCTGGCCTTGCCCCCCCGGCCCCCTCGTGGGTCTTGTCTTGAAAATGGGTGCCCTGGGCACCCTAGCCTTATGGGCTATGCGTGGCTCCAACCACCCCTTATACCACACCCCAAGCCTCACAGTTGGACTGGACGTTGTTCGGTCTCTTGGTCTGCTCTCACACCCATCTCTCGGGCCTCCTCTATACTACCGCCCAGCTCTTGGGCCTTCTCTGTACTGCCGCCCCCTCCTGGGGCTCTCTATGCCCACTCTGGGCCTTCTCGGTACCGCTGCCCCCTCTCTGGGGTCTTCTCTGTGCTGCCGCCCCCTCCTGGGGGTGCTCCGTGCCCCCTGTGGGCCTTCTTAAGAACACTGCCCCTTTCCTGGGACCCTCCCTCTAATGCCGCCCCTTTCCTGGGGCCTTCTGTGCCCACTCTGGGACTTCTTGGTCAAGCCACCTGTCCCTCGGGCCCACCGCACTACTACCCCCCTTTCTCCAGGGCTCACCGCAGTGCTACGCCCGTCTCCGAGGCTTACGGCAGCGCTACACCCTCTCTCCAGGGTTCACCGCAGCGCTACGTCCTTCCTCAGGGGCTCACCATGCCTGCGCTGGGGCTTCTCAATAGCACCCCCTCTCTGGGGCTTGCCACGCCCACACTGGGCTTCTCAGTAGTGCCCCTCCTGGGGCTGGGGTCTATGCCCCCCGCACACCGCGCCCTTACCTCTCCGAGGCTTACGGCAGCGCTACACCCTCTCTCCAGGGTTCACCGCAGCGCTACGTCCTTCCTCAGGGGCTCACCATGCCTGCGCTGGGGCTTCTCAATAGCACCCCCTCTCTGGGGCTTGCCACGCCCACACTGGGCTTCTCAGTAGTGCCCCTCCTGGGGCTGGGGTCTATGCCCCCCGCACACCGCGCCCTTACCGGCGCTGGGATCCCCACGCTACGCTGGGTCCCACATGAGGCCTCCTCCAACCCCTAATAGCCTCACCCAAGCCACCGGTGTAATACATAACAACAACGCAAAACACAAGCCCCTAGGCTGTAACACAAATTGAAGCTGCCTGGCTATAACTTAACATCATTGCTCAAGCCTCCAGAGCTGCCATAAGCTGTACTTGCGATCAGGCTTCTTCCCGCATCCTGGCTTAGGGAGCTCCTGCCTCTCTGGCTGCTGGCAGGGGACTGCCAGCACTGCCAGCCTGGCCTCAGCCCTGGGCTTTATGAGGGCCAGGCCCTGCCCCTTCCGATCAGCTGACATCCTGGTTGCCCCTGGCAACCCACAGCTGTGCTCCTTATTCCCTGCCAGGGCTCTTTCCCCGGCAGTTTCCCCTCTCTAGGAGCAGAGCAC